TCCAGGGCTGTGTCAACCAATCTGGTGTAGGAAGGAGGAATCCACTTACCTTGATTTGATATTTCTCCAACTTTCCCAACTTGAACTTGATTCTCCATTCATCCATTCAACAGGCTCATATATACCACTCACTAAGGACCCAGGACTGCTCTAAATTGTATGGCTTCAGCACCCCCTCTCCCCCTCCATACACAAAACATCCCTTGCTCTTCATGTGTGTCACTTCTTTATTTGTTTGTGCCTTTTATGTGATTCTGTGTTATACTCTTATTTATGTGTTTGTGTCCTCCCCAGATGGATTATCGGCTCCAATAGGCCAACACTTGTCCAAATGCTATGACTTGTAGGGACTTTGATGTTTGTCCCCTCCCTGGCAAACTGTTGAGGAGGGTGCCACTTGCTGATGCTGTAGATTCCTCTCAGGAGCTTACCCTTCAGGCTTCCTGAGGAAAAAGCAGCTTGCTCCCCCTTCCTCTTTTCTGGGGTATCTCTCTACACCATCCCCACCGCGGCATATATACTGCTGCTTCCATGCCCCCAGCCCAAGTCAGGTATCTCAGCATTGCTGGGCATACCTGGGAAGACATCATTTTTTCTGTCAAATTGCAAGACTCTGTGTCCAAGGGCCACAGCCATAGCAATTTCCTCCTACACCCACGCCTGACTCTGTCACACTTGGCCCTACCGTGGTGGTGGAACTCTTTGTGGAGTGCTTAGTGCAGCACTCTGGCAATTAGGGGCTTGACAAATGCTTTTCCATGATGCTGAAGCTGAGGATCAGAGGGGCAAAATATTCTCTGGAACAAAGGGGCACACTGTGAGTGAATTCACCTTTTATTATGGGCTGTTTGGCCACCAGACCCCTGTGTGCCCAGGATGAAGGGAAACAACAGTATGAACGTGAACACAGGACAGGGAACGCAGAGACTGGGGCCATGGCGCCAAGCCCGTTAGCACCAAAACATAGAAACAATAAGATCCAAAGTTAATAACCAAGTTAGGGAAATATTAACTGACACAAAGAATTTGGAAGTCACAAACTGGCTTCAGAGAAACCCCCATAGATTCCAAGCTCAATAGCAAGTGTATATTCAAAAACACTAATTAGCAGGCAAAATGCAGGTTCATGAAACAAAGTTCTAAAGAAAGCGAAGAAGGCTGGAGAGTTGGGGGGGTGGGGCAGGAGCAAGACAATTTCCCTAGCGAGAATGATGAGAGAATTGCTTGCTCAAGGGCAAATTTTATGGAAAATCATGATCCAGTGCTAACAAAGGGAGAAACCTTTCCAAAGAGTTAATGGAGCAGTTAGAGAAATTCAGGTTCAGTAAATCATGAGGACCGAGAGTATTGATCTGAACATTGTGGTGGGTGAAAATATGGAGCTGAGCTGCTGACCAAACTATATAATAGAACAGTTCTTCAAAAGTGGCTGGGGATTTTAGTTGCTGAGTTGATGCTGGAGTCTTGCCCACAGAGCTCTCCCTCCCAAGCTGGTTCTCTTAAGAAATTCTGCCCACTGTATCCTGGGGGTTAGTCACCTCTCCCATTCACATAACTGTACCCCTCATCTCTGATGATTCCACATCCACAATCTCCAGGCCAACCTCTCATCTGATCTCTGGGGGTATTTCCAAATCTCTGCAGGACATTTCTATGCTGGTGACTCACTATCACAGATACTTAGACACTCATTGTCCCAATGCCCTCACTGCCATAACCAGTGAGAAAACAAAACAAAGCAAGCAAACTAACCACAAAACCATCCAAATTGTGTTCCCTGACCTCCAGCCTTGAACACATGGAGAAACCTGTGATCCCTCCCACATCTTCAGATCCTCTACAATTTGCCAATAACAGTAGCATGTCACCTTGGCCAGTTATTCAACTTTCTCTAATTCTGTTTCCTCATCTGGAGAATGTGAATAATAAAGATTGACATGAGGACTGAAAAAGCCCAAGTGTGCAAAGTGCTCAGAATGACACCTGACACATAGTTACACACACACTATCATTTTTACCTGCGCTGGCATTACATTAAAATATTTCTTCACTTCTTTCCACTGTAGGTTCCAGCAGCATCACATCAAGGCCCTTATTGCCTCAGGCCACATTAGAATCCCAAACAAATAGAGCTAGGAGACTCCTAAGGGAAATGAAGTACTTAATCAGAGTGCTTTCACTTCTCTGCACTGACTCCTCTTAGCCTTGCGGACACCATAGCCCTCTCCCTGCTCTTCTCCAGCACCAGCATCTCCTTTTCTAAATACTCAGTCCACATCAGTCCTCGTTCAAGAACCTACAGTGGTTCCCTAGGATAAGGCTATCCCTGGGGAGTGTGAGCCCTAGGCAAATGTATTCGCAGGTCCGTATGTGTATCAATAATTTTATTGGAAAATGAACCCATGTTACTGATGAAGATTTAAAATAATGGTATTTATTGCCTGATGTGAACATTCTTATCTTCTTCATCCCCTGTGAACGAGAGTTACTCCAAATCAGCATGTCAGCACCATTCTAGTGGTCCAATGTCATGCAATATTACAAAAGAAATAACTTGCTGCCCAGGGTCAGTGGGAACAAATGCTGACCAAGCTGCTCTCCTGAATTAGGCCCCACTTTGGCTTCAAGAAAATACATAAGCATGAATTCTGGAGCTCCTGTAGATATCTGGTCAACCTCATAGGCTGGCTAGAGAGAAGCACATTGCCCTAAAGGGGAGAAATGAGATCTGACTTGGACACTGAAACCCAAATAGCATTGCAGCTGGGGACTTCAAGTAATGCCATCCAAATCATGAGGACTTCTGTGGTGTGGTGACCCAAGGCAGGGATCTTGCCCATGGTTAACAGCAGTACTGTCTCATCAGCTGGTTAATAGATTGAGATGCTACGGAAGAGTACCTCAGAGCCACTTTTCATAGCTTTATGAAGACGTCTGGCCGATTGCATTATATGTTAAATAACTAGGAACTTGGATGCATTAAAAATTAATAGAAAATTGTATGAATAATGAATATGTGGCAGTATATAAAATGATCATACATTACCTGCAGTTAGACAATGAATCTTTGAAATGGTATGAGCTATGTGACCCTATAGTCTTTTCACTGGTGGCCTGAGGTGAACAGGAACAAAGGAGAGAGTAAGTAAAATCTGGGTGAAGGGTATTCCACTGTCCGAGTTACTTATGCTTATAAAGCATGTGCCTAAGTGTCTATCCCCACTCCTTCACTCTCTGAGACCTGCCACACAGCCCTGAGCCCCTGAGCCTAAACTGCAGGTAATGAGGCTGATCCCAGCCTCCTAGGATTGATAGACCCCTTAGGATGCAAGCAAAGCAGGTTAGGTTAGCCTTCTTGGAGCCATGCCAGCCAGGATTGTGGTTGTGGGAATTTCATTGATCTGGTCTGGGCCACAGAGGGTCAGGTAGAGAGAGAACCAAAAATAAGGCAGTGTAGTACCTACCAACCTCCCATCTCTATCCCTTTTTCCTCCCTCCTCCCCAAGTCTGCCTGGGGACTTCCAAAGAGAAATACTGTAATCCATGACCATCTCCAGCCTCATGAGGTCATTTTCCAAAGGTTTTATAGTTTCTCATGTCTCCTTCTCACTCTGCCAGTATCCAATTACTAGGTTCTCTCTCTCTCTCTCTCTCTCTCTCTCTCTCTCTCTCTCTCACACACACACACACACACACACACACACACACACACACACACAGAGTGTTGGCACATTTTGGTTTCTAGAGTTTTAGATAATATGTTGGCTCAACAAGAGAAAAAAAAAAGAGCTTTTCCTGCCAAATTAAAGAGAGGCAGAGCCTGGTAACACAGGTGATGGGGCGAATATTTACAAAGTCTGCCTCCCCACACTGCTTCTTTGATGCAATTCTTTTTTTGCCCTAAAGGAATTTCATGGTAATGAAATCTGTACTCAAAAATCAAGCCTTCCTAACTAGAGATACCTTGAGACTGTTTGTTCTCTGCAGTGTAGTGGTGTGTGGCATGACCCTTTTCTGAGTGTGCATGTGAGGCAGTATGTGTGTTGGGGGAAGGGGGATGTTGCTATCAATGTATGATCTGAGCCTGCTTTGAAAGCTGATCCCAAGGGGTAAAATAAGATATGGCACTAATCTGAGGAGACATTAAAATCTTCTGACCTGTCTTATCTAACAGAATTCTGGTGCTTGTTTTTCATTATAAAGATCTGGGGTAATAACTTTATTTAGTGCTTGCATTCCCCCCCCCCCCCCGGATTTCTACAGGAAAGTCAAAGGCACTGATTTATAAACAGAGGGTTCTTATGTACTATTTTTAGAACAATGCTGTACCAGATTTATAAGGGGGTTGGGGGGGGGAGAAACTACAGTCACTTTTGAGCAAAGTAGCATTTCACTGCATAATAATGAAGTACTAATTGCTCTTTGTCATCACTTTTTATGCAAATTGCCCTGGAGCATTTGCCCAACATGCATTTTACATTTTAACAAAGAAAGTGGAGTCTTGATAAACAAGAATCGTATACCCAAGCAAAAATAAAAATATCAGCTATAAAATAAAACTGCTTAAGGTGCATTCTCTAAGGATATAAATTTTTCTATTATATCATCCCCCATATTAGATCTATTTGACCAAGAAATTCCTTCGAATCTGAAGTAACAGTTTATGTGTCAGGCAAATAATAATAATAATAATAATAATAATAATAATAATAATAATAATATTTCAATGCAAAACCTGCATATTTTACTTATCCTACAATTTACAATGGAAGTTTGATGTGAAAATTATGTTCCCAGCAGAATTTAAATAGACCAGGTCAAAATATAGATTGGCAAAGGAATCATATTGTGTCAAAGCATTTTTCACAGGCACAAATCTCACTATTTTAGAGGTTTCAGTTATTCTAATGGATTCCCATTTTCATAGAGACAGTCATCAGCGTTATCAAAAAAGAAACACAATTTGCATATCATAAATAGGTAGAGAGTTTGAAACATACCTTAAGGATGTGTGTGTTCAAATTCTGGTCTGGTGACTGTTACTGGTTCCTATCATACTGACACCAGGCAATAGGGGAGAAAAAAAGAGAAATGTGATTTATAAGTTTTCAGAGACCTTCAGAGAAATCTAAAATTCAAACCTGGCCTTCCAGGTCATTATGAAGATATATTTGTGGAGGAAAGAGGATAGAACATATTTTATTTAACAGTCTGTTAGCTTGATCTATACCATTTAAATATTTAAACATATGGTATGTGGGCCTCCATTTGTACTCTTGCCCCAGGCCCCACAAATGTTAGGGCAAGGTCTGCTTCTCAGAACCACTCCCCCACCTCCAACTCACTAGCTTCAATCAATCTGTACATGTTCATTCTAAAAATGGAATGCAATTGGTTTTAAAGGCAGCTGATGTTGAGGGCCATCACCTATGCTATTCAGTAAATCTACACTTTGCAAATAGAAAAATACAGTGTGTGACAAGGTGCTATTAATGAAGCAATAGATGATTTCTTCTCAAATGCAGAGCGATGAACTGCTGCCTTATTAAATGACCATCGTAGAGTGTTATTTCCAAAGTATGATAATTCCTGGAATAATAATAATCATACCATGAAGCCTATTTAATTCCAGACTTCAAAGCTGTTTACAGCCTTAAAGTTATTAGTCCACAGTCCCTTCCTCTGAGTTGGATCCATAAGGTATTATCCATTCATTTTTTTATAAGCACCTAGGCCCAGACCCAGAAGAATATTGCCTAAGGTCATTGAAGGAGTCAGGGTGCGAGTGGAGTGCGGAATCCCCACTCATAGTCGCAGACCCCCTCCGTTAGACAACCTGATTATGAGATGAAATACTGGTAAACATGAGCTTCTGTGCCCAGGAAATGCACTGTGAAGGGCATAATGAATTACTTATGCTGTGTAGTGTATGTATAAATCATATTAAAGCATGCTGAATAGTACATTATCATGCTTCTATTTTGCATTACAAAAGTAACTAATGTAAGCTGCAAAGTGTACTTTTAATCCATTATTCATTTCTAAAAGTAGTCAGACCACTATTCAAGTACCATAAAAGGCTACCAGGATAAGCAAACCTGCTTTTCAATTTATGAAGATGAAACAGCAAGATTTTAGAATCAATTTTAAATTAGTCAAGCTGTATTTATGAAAACACATCAAATCTGTGCATTTCTGGTTCAGATGGAGAAATTATTACAAACCCTAATCTTCCCCCCCCCAAAAGATTATGTGTCTTAAGTCTGGAATCAATATAATTACTTTTATTATGTGTGATGCTCTGATATTATTTGTTTTACCTTACTTTTTAAATGTTTACAATGGATCAAAACTTATTTTTAGTGTTCTTTCTCATTTGGGTTGAATTATCTACATTCTGATTTTCCACAGCTACTACCTTGCCCCCAAATGTTTCCCCAGCACACAAGCAAATAATTAGGGTAGCCTTATCATCCCTGAGCACCCCATCTGAAAGACCCCTCAAAAGTCTTCCTAGTCAGGGTTCAAAATCCAGAAACCATAAAAGAAAAGATTGATGCAAACTGATACAAAAGCAACATTAGCACAAAATACAACTGACAAACTAAGTAAATATTTGCAATCTAAATCATAGTGGGTCAAGCCCTTCAATGTTGAGTGAGTCTTAACAAATTGAGAGAAGTCCAAAAGCCCAACAGAAACCGAACAAAGGATGTGAACATAAAATTCACCAAGAAAGCAATACAAATGGTTCTTTAACACACCAAAAACCGTGCAATCTCACACACAGAGCAATTCAGATCAAAGCTACATGATGATACCACTTCAAATTGGCAAACATTTCTCAAAGTTTGATAATATAATTGTTGCAAGGGCTGTGGGGAAACAATCACTTGCATATGCTAGAAGGACTGCAAATTAGAATAAATCTCATGGATGGCAACATGGCAATCCCTATCAAAGTTACTTGCTTGGACCCAGTGATCCCACTTCTGGGACTTCATCCTACAGATCCATACATCTGCACACTATGAAACAATATATATACAAGGTCACCCACTGCAGTATTATTGCAGAAATAGCAAAAATTTGGAAACAACCCAAGAGCATGTGATGGTTAATTTTATGTGTCAGCTTGACTGGGTCACAGAATGCCCAGATACTTAGTCAATCATTATTCTGGGTGTTTCTGTGAGGGTGTTTTTGGATGAGATTAACATTTAAATTGGTAAACTAAGAGGTGCCTGGGTGGCTCAGTTGGTTAAGCATCCAACTCTTGATCTCAGCTCAGGTCATGATCTCAGGGTCATGAGTTCAGGCCCTGCACTGGGCTCCACAGTGGGTGTGAAGGCTATGTTAAAAAAAAATCGGCAGACTGAGTAAAGCAGATTGCCCTCCCTATTGTGCATGGGCCTCATCCAGTTAGTTGAAGGCCTGAAAAGAACAAAAAGGCTGACCCTCCTCAGCCCTCCCCACCTTGCAATAAGAGACAATCAGCTTTTCCCTGCCTTTGAACTGATACTGAAATATCTACTCTTTCTGGCTCTCAGGCTGCCAGCCTTCAGATTGGAACTACACCATCAGCTCTCCTGGGTCTGCAGCTTGCCAACTTACTCTGCAGATCTTGGGACTTTGTCAGCCTCCAAAATCATATCAGCCAGTTCCTACACACACACACATACACACACACACACACTCTCTCTCTCTCTCTCTCTCTCTCTCTCTCTCTCTCTCCCTCTCTCTCTCTATTGGTTTTGTTTCTCTGGAGAACCCTAATACAATAGAGAATTGGTTAAATAAACCATCATACACATATTAGGGAATAGTACTCAGATATAGAAAAACAAATGGAGATGATCTCTACGATCTCCAGGACATATTAAGTGAGTAACAGTAAGGTGCAAAACAAGACACATCATACGCTAACTATTGCGTGAAAGGAGGGATAAGGATGTATATAAGGATATGTATTCGTAATTGCTTATGTTGAAAAGAAACACAAAAGTGGTAAATAAATTTATTTCTATTGGGGGTCAAAGTGAATCAGGACATATACTTGCAAATGAATACTTTTTCGATCCTTTTGGGTTTTGATTCATATGAATGTATTACTTATCAAAAAATAATTTAAATTTACAAATCAATAATAGTGCTTCTTTATCATATCACCCTAATTTATTTCTTCTATTGTACTATTACTGCCTGAGATTTTTCTTGCTTAATTATTGGTTTCCTTGTGCCCTGCTCTCTAGAACAGGGGTCAGCAAATTATAGCCCATGGGCCAAATCCAACCCACCTCTTATTTTGTAAATAAAGTTTTACTGGTAAACAGCCCTGTCCAATCATTTATATATTTCTAAGGCTGCTTTTATGGTACAGTGGCAGAGTTGAATAGCTGTGACTGAGACCATATGACCCACAAAGCCTAAAGTATTTACTCTCTGGCCCTTTACAGAAAAAGTTTACTGACTCTTGCTCTAGAATGTGAGCTCCTTCCAAATAAAATGCAAAGGCAGAAAGCTTATTTGGTCTTCACTGTATCCCTCAGAATACTGTCTAGTGCACAGTAGGTGCTCCTCAATTCTGTCACAGGTTGAGTTTCCAGGGAAATGAACTCTGAGATGGAGATTAGCAGGTGGGAGGTTTCTTAGGGAATGTTGCTGGGATCATCGTAGAAACGGGAAGAAGCAGCGTGGGGCAGAAGGAGAAGTCAAGCCTTGGTGTGGTCTCAATGAAATGCCTCACCTGAACTAGCAGGGAGTTCTGAAAATGAGGTGACCCTTCAGAGCTCTCCAAATGAATTGAGAGAGCCAGGCCATTAAACTCCCACTTGGATCTGTCATTGGATGGGAGCCAACCCAGGAAGGAGGTGTGACCTTGAGGGAAGTAGCTATCTTCAGCCAAAACTAATCCTAAATAGTGGTACCCCTAGTGAGGGCTGTCTGCCAATAGTACTCCCAAAAGCTGGGGTAGTAGGTCTTTAAGGGGAAGGAGTGGGGGCCAAACAACATAGCATCCATCACAAGGACTAATTAAATAAATGTGTTTGTATGCATCTGCTCCAGTGGTAATTCCAGTTCATAATACCACTCAGTAGATTTTATTCTCAGAATCTTTCAATATGTTTTAGCTTATATAATTTCAGAAGCAGACTCTGAGACAACCATGGGAGTGTTTGTGTGTGTGTGTGTGTGTGTGATGTAGAACACACCAGTAGAGGAATGGAGAAGTCAGACAGTGAAGGTAAGGCAGTTGAGCCCCTGCCCATAGCATCATAGACAAGTGCTACTCAGAGAGGGATTCAGGGAATAGTGCCCATCCAGGAACTGTTTGCCGCTGAGTTTACATTTACAGTTGTTCTCAATTCCATCTCATTCTCATCCTTGGTTTCTGAGCAGAATTAGGTAGAACTGTTTTTCCACTCACTCAAAATCATTATCTTTAACTTAAAGTTAAGAGACAATGCCTGGACGTAAAAGTCATACTGGTGCCTAAATACTATAGAGCAACTTGATATAAAAATCTCTTCCCTTTGTTCCCTTCTCTAATAAGGGCACCTAAACACCAGTTTAGATATTATCGAATGCAAGGTGCAGGGTTGCTTTCTCTAACAACTTCTCTGCTCTAGGAGTGGCTGACCATTAGTTAGTTTCATGTCCCTTACTCTCCTATCATATGATCACCCTGAATCACCTCCAACACAAGGAAAGCTGAGAGAGAAATACCCACCTAGAACACTCAGGAGATTGCAACCAAATGACCATGCTTTTCAATCAAAGGATAGTAATTTTCACATTTTTCTAGGAAGGGTAAACTATTTCCCATCCCAAACTTAAGTTTTCTATCTTTTGAATCTAGAGATTCTGTATTTTAAAACGACAGTTCCTATGGGAACAAAGTATCAATTTCTCTTAGCAACCACTGTAGCTTTTATAGCATTGATAAACTTGGTTTCAACATGAAACTACTTTCACTAGGAGCTTATTGTTACCGTAAAACCAAGCTTACCATAGCATGATTTTAAAAAACCACATTTTAAGCAGGATATAAAATCAC